TAGACCGTTTCACTCGATGGCCAGAAGCAGTACCTATCAAGGACATCACTGCTGAAACAGTGGCCCGAACCTTCGTCGAACGATGGGTAGCAAACTTCGGTTGCCCTTCAACCATCACTACAGACCGCGGACGTCAGTTTGAGTCTGAACTTTTCCATCGTCTGACCACACTATTAGGAAGCACTCGCTTCCGAACGACCGCCTACCACCCACAAGCAAACGGGTTGGTAGAACGCTTTCACCGACAACTAAAAGCTTCACTATCAGCTGCAAACGTTTCACAGTGGACCGACGCTCTTCCACTCGTCTTACTAGGTATCCGCAATGCAGTGAAAGCTGACATTGGATACACTGCGGCTCAACTCGTTTATGGAACGACACTTCAACTTCCAGGAGAATTCGTGGATCCTTCATCCTCTTCATTGAGCATGGATCTAACCTCTTACACGAACAGGCTTACAAACGCAATGCGTTCAGTTAAACCTGCTTCCACTCGACCTCAATCAACTGATGTTTTCATTCAACCTGAGTTACGATATAGTACACACGTTTTCGTTCGTCGAGACTCGCATCGACGACCTTTCGAATCAGCATACGAAGGACCTTTCAAAGTTCTTCAACGCGAACCGAAGTACTATATAATCGATAAGAACGGAACCAACGACAGCATCAGCATCGATCGCCTCAAAGCAGCGTATTTAGAAGGAAATCCTATCTACGTGGATTTTCCTTCGGTACAATTGAACGACACGACTCCGACACTTATAATACCTCATCCGACAACCAACACACACGATGATACTTCGACAGTATCCGAAAATAAACTTAAAACGACACGTTCTGGAAGAAGAGTGAGATTTCCAGAACATTTAAATGACTATTGCACGTAAGGCACTTCTCGACATTTTCTATATTATTAAAAAATAATTTTTTTTTTAAATAGGCTTATATATTTTCATTTCTATTTAAAAAAAAAAAACAAAAAAAACGATTTTACGAGTTTATTTTCCCTTTTTTTACGCACATACGAGTGTATTTTCGACATGCACTTACATTTTCTTTCTTCTTTTCCAGGACGGCTGGAAAAGAACGATGACGTTTATGAGGATACGAAACTTTCATTGTACATTTTTTTTTTACTATGTTGTACTCCGGTCCCATATAGTAAGGAAAGACGACCAGACGCTGCTAAATTTAGTAAGCTATCAGAAGAGTGTTTACCAACGACAAACTCGTTGGGTTTAAACTTCTGGCTGGCCACGTCTTAGGGTCATCACTGCCCCACTAGGGGGGGAGTGATCTGTAGCGGTAAATAAATCCCCAAACTAAATAGCTCAATAGGTTTTCGACATTGGATGCTGACCATATGTTTTAGTGGACTCATCTAGCTGAAGGCGCTCGGTCATGCATCCGCACCAGATCACGTGCCGTCACGCTGTGCTCAACAACAATCGCAATCACTAGCCAGATTAGATCAGAGATTCCCGATATATTGGTTATTGCCAAATACACTCTTCCGATCTCCTCGACTCTGTCTTTTGATTTCTCTCGGTGGGAACAAAGCATATTAGAAGGTGTTATTGGTAGAAGCGTTGTCAAACACTGAATACCTGTATCATCCTCAATCTCAAAACGACTAGTCACTGTAAGGCTGCTGCTGCGAAAGGCTATATGGTGTTATGGTCAATTCGTAGGTCCTTCCAGTATTTAGATGATGAAATGTTTAGATTACTATACCCGATTTATGTGCGACCACATTTAGAATACGGGATTCAAGCAGCGTGTCCTTGTTTCAAATATGAAGCAGATATGCTAGAAAGAGTCCAACGACGAGCTACTAAAATGGTACAAGGTCTATCTGGCCTATCTTATGAAGACAGACTGAAACACCTTAACTTATTTCCGTTATCTTACCGTAGAATAAGGGGTGATCTAATATTGGCCTATCGTATACTGAACGATGACCTTGGTATTAACATGTCTTATCTTTTGCTCCCGTCTAGAACCGATCATTTGAGAGGACATTCGAAGAAAGTTCAAAAACCGAGATCAAACCGTTTACGTCTGGAGTTCCGTTTCTCGCACCGAGTAGTGAATTACTGGAATTCCCTACCGGAACACGTAATATCAGCACCATCTGTTAATATATTCAAAACGAGATTGGACCTCCACTGTATTACAAACTGCAAGGATTAATATAGGTCGACAGACCTCCTATCCTTATTACTGAAGACTGAAGACTGAACCATATATTTTTGCTCGTAGACATTGCCCACTGGGTTTTTGGCGCTTGCTTGACTTGGTGCGGTGTTGTTGCAGATGGTTTTTCGATTTCGAATTCCCATTTAAGGTTTAAATATATTTCGAATTACATATATTTCTTACAAAACAGTTGGTTTTGGAGCGATCGGGTTTGTTGATCGAGAATTTTAGGTTCGATGACCACATACACACCCATGCCTTGCTGTCCGCCTGGAACATCTGTATTTGACGTCTCTTACCTTGCCAGTACTACCACCATCACCACTGCCATTGTTGTTTGTATTAATATAATAAGCTCATCTCGATTCACCTCTCTCTGTCATTCTTGGACATCTGTTCACATTTTTTTCATGTACCATTCTGACCGTTATTTTCTCTTCTCTCCTCTATATTCAGTTTTATAATCTCTCATTTTACAACTCAATCTCCTGTACGCCGACATGATATTCCATGCTCTTGGCAACCTGAATGCTACAGAACAAACTCACTAATTTATATTCAAGTGATATTCCTGTTGTATGTAAATAACCTTTCTCGTCTCCTATCATCATCGGTCTTGCTATATGCTGACGATGTGAAGATATGGAGAAGGATACGATATAAGAGTGATAGCTTAGAACTTCAAAATGATCTGAAGAAGTTATGCGAATGGTCTCAAACCTGGCAGTTGCCAATAAATACTTCCAAGTGTGTTGTGACACATATTGGTCAAGGTGCAGATACATACATGATGAATAACACTAAGCTACCTGTCGTCCAGACATATAATGACTTAGGAGTTATCGTTATCAAAGACCTAAAGACTACTGCACACTGCCGTGCAATAGTCGCCAAAGGTTTTAGAACCTTATGGTTAGTACGTAGGGCTTTTAGTCATGTCGACGCCAAAACTTTTTTGACTTTGTACACAGTGTTCGTACGTCCTAAACTTGAGTACTGCATACAAGCGGCTAGCCCCTGCTTAAAAAGGACTGAGCTTTTGGAAAAGATTCAGAGAAAGGCGACTAAGCTGATTCCAGGAATAGTGAAGCTCGATTGGCCAAGCTGAACCTTTTTCCTTTGTCATATCGCAGAACTAGAGGCGACTTGATTACAGTCTTCAAATTGCTTAGTGATAAATTTGCACCTGATATGCCCTCATTTTTCTTGTCTTCCAAAACAGAGAAGTTACGAGGACACTCCAAAAAAGTTCACAAGCCGAGAACAAATTACTTGTCAGCTGACTATCGACTTTCCCACCAAATCATCAACGAGTGGAATTCATTACCTCAGCACGTGGTTGAGGCTCCATCCGTCGACTCTTTCAAAAGAAAGTTGGATCAACTGAGAGACCACCATTGCCAGGACTAACACAGGCCATCAAGCCTCCTATCCTTCCCAAACTGAAACTTAATCAGCTCTCGAATTCATTAGGGTTAGTGCTGTTTAGCTGCTAGACTACCCACATCGTACCATACTGAATCCTAAAACCGTATCTTAACATCAAGAAGCGTTCCTGAGTACCAATCCATTAACACAAGTTCGTCATGTTGGAAGTCCACTCTCAAATCCCATGTGGGATATATGTAGGATGTAATGTGAAATTAAGCTCACCATCGTAATTGAGCCTTACCTTCACAACCGATGGTTAGTCTGTGATCGCCCCAATTTCGTACTTCGTGTATATCGCGCAATTTCGTTTTTCTAATACTGTGAACTCGTTTTTTCGTCGTTGTAGTTTTGGCTCACTCAGATCACTTTCTTTCATAATACCATGTAACTAAACCTACTATACCTCATAAACATCAGAATATCGTTGTAACTTTCGATTTTTCTCCGACTCTCTGGGATACTAAGTATGTCTTCCTCTCGGTTTGCCATTTATAGTTTTTGCGTCGCTTAGTTTTAGCATAATAATATAGTGTATATTCTCATAAAAGCAACTCAATTTGTGTGCGTAAATTAGCTTTATGGGAAATAGACTCTTTGATGTTGTGATAGATTTGGTCGCACACTGAGCAAGTAGATTGTAGAAACATTTTCAAAGCGACCAAACTATTTTCGAATTTCTAGGATCTCTATGTGCATTGCATTTTCTAACTGATACGTAAGTATTCTGATATAAATTTCTACACATACGTACTACTGGTGTTATAGTCCCTATTTCTGTGTACATGTCGATATATCCCGATATTTTGATATGAATGTTGAGCTCTTGAGTGTTTTTTCATACACACGATTCGATGGTGCTAATTATTACTGACAAGTAAATTTTTCAGTTAACCTGATACTGGTTAAGTATGCTGTCTGAAGCCGTCAGTTTCAAAAACAATGAGTGGTTGCTCTGCAACTATCAAAATGCGCGATAATATTCAGAGTAGTCCAATTATATGTTCACAGAAAAACTAACTGGGGTACATTAGCTGTTGTCATTGTTGTTTCAGCTTCAGTTTTGAAAGGACAGGAGGCTTGATGGTCTGTGTCAGTCCTCGTACTCATCTCGTGACAGTCACTTTATTGATATTTCCTCGACTGAGTAAGCACACTTATTACTCGTCTTTGAATGAAATGAATAATTAATGACAACTAAGTCTACAACATTAGCAAGTAAGGTAATATATGTTTATATACACATATGTAAGATCAATTTACAATTTAGTACCACTTATCGAGAGTCGCATATATACATATAAAGTTTGTGTTGTTGATAAATATGACATACTTCAGACCAATTTCTTTTATCTCTAGAAGGATTCAATATGACCCAAAGGATTACTTCATGTACTGTTTCCGAAGTACCTGAACGTTTATGCACTTCTTCCATGGACGCACTACAAATCTCACCGTTTACTGATACGCTTTCCAACAAAACTGGCGATGTATGCAGAATAGAGCACACTCAGTTCGGTGAAGTTTATATTTGTAGAGTGTGTAATGTGAAATGCACTGGTAAGGCGCCATTTTCCCAGCATATATCTGGATCACATCATAGAAAAAACTGCAATGCCAGTAAGCTCCTAACTTCACATTAATAATAACTATTGTTCGTATAGATACCTATTTCTGTAACGAGTGCAATACGAGCCTTAATTCTTCTGAACAATATAACCTACATTGCAGTGGATCAAAGCATATGCGAAATATAATTTCTTCTTCTGACAATTCTATGTCTGAACAGTTTGGAGTTGAGCAACAATTCAATAAAAGCAATCATGTTCCTTACTTCTGCATACCTTGTGGTCTTAGTTGCTCTTCCAAAGAGCAACTGGATTCCCATTTCTTAGGTAAAAAACATAAGAAGCAATGTAAAAAATATAAGCCATCTGTATCAGGTCAGCTGTCGGGGTACGTTTTGAATGAACAGTCAAATCAACCGATTGGTCAACCTGACTTTTTCTCTTCAGTGCCTACTTTATTCAATACAGCTAGTGAGAATTCGCCAAACTTTTGGTTTCCAAAGTTGGTTCCTTGTATAAGAAATATCATAGAGCTGGAGTCCAAATTGACATTAACAAATAACTTTTCTCCGCTTTTGGCTTCAGTCACTCCCTGTTCATATCAAGAACGAACAGATTTAAAGAGTGATCTTTCACCCAATCAGCAGGATAGTGGCGATTCTTCTGAGCCCAAACAATTTTGTAGACACGGTGAATGTATTCTGATGAGGTCATTACAAGTAAGAAAAAATTGATAGCAATTTGTGTTATAACTTTGACTGTTTATTTTGGAACGTTTATTATTAGTATGAGTAGATTATCAGATGCATTTGATTATTGTTCACATTATTCGATCGTAACACGTGCTTGGTGCAGAAAAGTACCAAGAAATGTACTACACAGTTTGGCAATAATTTAGATGAGTTAACAAATACATAAAAATTTGTTTAATACAATTATGAGAGATATTAGTGTACAACCTCAGTAGGAAGAACCAAAATACGATATTTTTGCTTAAAAATAGATGTTATGAAAAACACAAAAGGGACCTATAGTAGGAGTATCACGGGCTTTTCTAAACCTTGTGATAATATATGTAGTCGCTGTTATTTACTATCTTTGGATCTCACCTACAGAACCTCAATCACCCGAAAAATGCTAACCTACAGTGAATAGTCTTCATTTATCTACGTCTCCATTAACTGGTAGTCTCTTTATTTCAACCCCCATCTAACGTTTAAGGTGACATATGTAAAGCTTTGTGCCACACGGACTTCTAGACCGTTTCCAACGGTGCATGACAGCTAAGAATACCATTATTCTTTTGGGAGTACTGTGCATTTCAGTTGTTTAAGGTAAATACCATACTGACAAACATTGATTAACAACTGATGCTGCTTGGTTAGCCTGTATTTCATCGCAAAGTAAAACAGCGTCATCCGCATACTGATTATCAAGATGTCTTTGTCCAGGTATAAGATCTGCACTACATTATCGCATTGCACTCAAAGTTTATTATCACCTAAAGTCGAAGAGAAATACCGAGATGAGATGATCCTATCCAATCCTACTGTCGGATAGAAACATCGAAGCAAGATGATTCTGTGCCTTCACTCTATCTGAAGTGATTTCCAAACGGGCTTAAATACGAAGGTTGCATCTCAGATACATTCTGCAACAATCGGTTTTTAAACAATCATATCAAAAGCAGCTCTATTGTCTGGAAATAGCGATGATTAGTCTTCAGTGCTTTTGATAGTGTTCAGGTCACGACGCGTCGCTATTTGTTTCAGCTCCGTTTATGAGGCCTGTCTTGACGTTTGTATTGAAAAATCTGACTGGTGTTGGCTGACAGTTGCTTTGAGTTTAAGATGTTCTAAAACTGGACATGTTTCCCTTGCTATGCCAATCTGTGCCTTCACATCTGCATCAGATCCCCTTTATTTATCAATCATGCAGCCTAGGTACCTAAAAGTTTCCACTTGATCCAGGGCTTCTTCATCTTTTGTGATTTGGTTGGTACTGTATATGTCATATTTTGGAATCTTGCTTTTTCCCTTTTCATATTTTTGACACACTATGTAGCACTAATATTTCGATAACTATCACATGTATTATACAGGCTGGATGGATCAGAAATATATCAATAAGAAACCTTTGAGTTCGAATCAATAAGGTAAAGACTAATAATATATGCCATAAACAACTAACGGAGTTGGTCAACCTTGAAAGTAATGTCCAACCCGAGGTAGCTTGATATGATATCAAAACAACTATGAAAGCACCTTAACTGAAAAGTTAAGAAAAATCAGTGGACTTTAGCGGCCTCTTCTGATATATACCTATTAACTCATCCCATCTGCCTCCAAACACAATGATTGCCAGAGCCAGCTTTAACGCCGGCTGATAAAAAGGATACACAATATTCATGGGAAGTGGTGGGCAGCGAAAGCAGAAGAGGTAGAAAAGACAGCGTCGATAGGTAACAGCAGAACATCATTCACTCTTAATCCAGGAGGTTGGACCGATGGGCATAACGCTTTAGGGAACAGTCCAACCGCACCCACCTCTAAATAACTTGAGTGAAAAATTGATGTCAGTCCTCTAACTCTTAGTGAGGTTGAAACGAATATTCCTTACGCCTGTTACTCCTCGTGAAGAAGCATAGGCCGCTCACCAGCATTCTCCATCCAACCCTGACCTGGGCAATCCTTTCCAGCTCTTTCCAGTTATGATTCATCCTTTTCATATCTGCTTCTATTTCCCGACGTAATGTGTTCTTTAGCCTTCCTCTTTTCCACTTCCCTTCAGGATTCCAAGTTAGGGCTTGCCTCGTGATGCAGTTTGATGATTTGCGTAATGTATGTCCTATCCATTTCCATTGTCTTTTCCTAATTTCCTCTTCATCTGGAAGCTGGTTTGTTCTCTCCCACAGAATTGTGTTACTGATGGCATCCGGCCAATGGTTGTTGAGTATCTTGCGTAGACAGCTATTTATAAATACTTGTGTCTTCTTGATGGTGGTTGTTGTAGTTCTGCAAGTTTCAGCTTCTTACAGTAGAACTGCCTTGACGTTGGTATTGAAGATTCTCACTTTGATATTGGTTGACGGTTGTTTTGAGTTCCATATGTTCTTCAACTGTATGAATGTGGCCCTTGCTTTGCCAATCCTCCCTTTTACGTCTGCATCTGAACCTCCTTGTTCATCGATGATGCTTCCCAGATATGTGAAGGATTCTACATCTTCCAGAGTTTCGCCATCAAGTGTGACTGGATTGCTGTTCTCCGTGTTATATTTGAGGCCCACTGATGCAGAGACTGCTGCTACACTGACTGTCTTTATCTGCATTTGTTCTTGTGTGTGGGATAAGAGGGCTAGGTCATCTGCGAAGTCCAAATCGTCTAATTGATTTTGAGCTGTCAATTGTATTCCGTGTTTCCCATGAGATGTCGAGGTCTTCATAATCCAGTGGACCACCAGAAGAAAGAGGAAGGGAGAGAGTAGACAGCCTTGTCTGACTCCGGTGCTTACTTGGAATGCATCTGTCAGCTGTCCTCCATGCACCACTTTGCATTGTAGTCCGTCGTATGAGTCCCAGATAATATTGACAATCTCCTCAGAAACTCCGTAGTGTCGAAGAAGTTTTTATAATGTGCTCCTATCTACACTGTCAAACGCCTTTTCATAACCAATGAAGCTGATGTACAGTGACAAGTTTCACTCAACTGGTTGTTCGACGATGATCTGTAGTGTCGCAATTCGGTCTGTGCACGACCGATCCTTACGGAATCCAGCTTGTTGATCTCGAAGTTGGGCGTCTACTGCGTCTTCCATCCGGTTCAGCAAAACTCTGTTAAAGACTTTCCCTGTTACTGACAGTAAGGTAATGCCTCTGTGGTTTTCACATTTGCTCAGATCTCCTTTCTTTGAAATCTTGATGAAGTGTCCTTCTTTCCAGTCCATCGGCACTTGTTCCTCCTCCTAAATCTTTTTGAATAGAAGGTGAAGCATGTTTGTGGTTGCTTCTATGTCTGGCTTCAGTGCTTCAGCTGGTATGTTGTCGGGTCCTGCTGCTTTCTCGTTCTTGATTTGTCTGGTGGCCATCCTGATTTCTTCCGTCGTTGGTGGATCGACATCTGTAGGAAGATCTGTGTGTGCTGCTTCGATGTCCGGTGGATTCATTGGAGCCGGTCCATTCAGGAGTTCCTCGAAGTATCATACCCATCTGTCCCGCTGTTCTTGAATTTCAGTGATTAGCCTTCTTTGTCCTTGACCGGTCTCTCTGGTTCACTGTATCTCTCTGCTAGTTTCTTCGTTGTATCATAAAGCTGTTTCATAGTTCCTTCTCTTGCAGCTTTTTCCGCCTTCGTTGCTAGTTCTTCCACGTATTTCTGCTTATCTGCTTTAATGCTCTTCTTCACTTGCTTGTTTGCTTCTATGTACTCAGCTTGTGCTTGGACTTTCTCTGCTCATGTTTGGCTGTTGTTAATTGTTATCTTCCTGTTCTTCCTTTCCTTGATCCAGTGATTCTATAGAGATCCATTCCTTATGATGGTGCTTCTTGAGGCCAAGAACCTCTTGACACGTTGAAGTTAATGCTTCTTTGATACCTTACCAGTTGTCCTCCATAGTAGTTTCTTCTTCCTTCAGTAGATCCTGTAAGGCTTGGAACCTGTTGTTGAGAGCTATCTTGAATTCGTTGAGTTTGTTAGTATGTCGAATGAAGGCTGTATTGAACCTTGGTAGTGCTGTTTGTCCAGTTCTTCTTTAGCTTCAGTTTTAAATTGGCCACAACTAGGTGGTGGTCTGAAGCTATGTCACCTCCTCTCCTGGTTCTCACATCTTCCATTGTCCTTCGGAATTTTTTATTGATGCAAATATGATCTGTCTGGTTCTCTGTGGTGTTGTCTGGTAAGATCCATGTAGCTTTGTGTGGAAATATTGTGTCGCCTATGACCAATTTTTTGAATGCACACAGATTTGCAAATCTTTCCCCATTTTCGTTTCTCTCTCCCAGCCCATATTGTCCAATGATATCTTCATATCCGGTGTTGTTTATTCCGACTTTGGCGCTTAAATCTCCCATCAGAATGGTAAGGTCCTTTCTTGGGCACTTCTCAATGATTGATTGTAGCCGCTCATAGAATCGATCTTTAATCTCATCATTGCTATCATTGGTGGGTGCATAACACTGGATAACATTCATTGTAATTCCCTCCCTTATTTTGAATGATACTTTGATAATTCTGAATCCGTGAGATTTCCATCCTACAAGTGCATTTCGTGCTACTTTGGACAGCATTAAAGCAACTCCCTGAATGTGTTGAGCATTTTCCTCTTCGTGACCGGAGTATAGCAGTATCTCTCCCGTATCCGACGAAATCTCAGCACGGATTCGAAAAGCTCGTTTGGCTTTTGCCAACTTACATCACCTTTGGCGAAGGCGAGATATCCGTCTATCAATAAAAGGACGAGTATACTGCGCTGCAGTCCGTTCTGTTTTACTTTACAGCAGCGAAACATGGCCTTTAAGAGTAGAAGACACTCGTAAGCTACTAGTATTTGACCACAGATGCCTTAGGAATATTGCTGGCGTCTGCTGGGATCACCGGGTAAGTAATAGTGAGGTTAAACGCAGGGTATTAGGGAATGATGGTAAATCAGTTGATGAAGTTGTGAATCTTTATCGACTGAGATGGTCGGGCCACGTGTTATGTATGCCTGAACACCGATTACCAC